TGTGGGTGTGGGTGGGTGTGGGTGTGTGGGTGTGTGGGTGTGGGCGTTGGGTGGGGGTGGGGGTGTGGGTGTGGGTTGAGTAGATATGAACACCCGAACCATATCCAGACCCATACCCTCGTTTTAGTAGTATCACAAACAGTTTAGTAAATTTTACTGCTGGGCTTTATGCTTTCGAATAAGATCGATATGTCTTGTTTGTAGCGTACTATTCGATGGATATAATGTTTTTCATTTCCATGGATAAGTGGTTTATCAAAGGGACAGTATTCTACTCATCGAGTAATACATTGTACTGGAAGCAGTCCAGTATAATTCAAAACGGAAAACTCTAAACGTTGCCTTGTAGTATTAAATCATGCAAAGATAGTTGTACAGTCCAGTAGTAAATATTATATAACTGCTGACAATCCTCCTACAACTAACCATCTCAACAAACAGCTATATACCGATTTGTTCAATTTGTGATTCTCTTTGTAACGGTGTACTTAAAAAATTGAAAGTTAAACTGAAAATTTCCGATATTTTTATTAACTAATTAGAACAAATGATAATCAAAAGGCACTTTTCACCAAAATACAGTCCATCCAATGTCGCATCGACTGGTGTATCAAAGAGTTTTTAATTATTATTTAATAACAGGAAAATGAATAAAATATTAAAAGAGACTTAAATATTTATCGGTTGTACAACTTTTCTCCTCTATTCTAAGTCCTTGTAAGACAAAAATTTAGGATATATCTTTCTTCTCATATTAAAGTTTTGCTCTTCGGTCTCTGATATATCCAGCATGACAATAGAAACTGTATATCAAATATCTACATTAATTGCGACTGTACAAACCCCCCACCGTAGTCACTGTTTGTAGATACGAAGAGAAATACTCGAATTCTCTAAACAACAATGTCATGATTTAAAGAAGATTTACGCTTTCTCTAAAACAATCAACTTCCTGTAGAATTAAGCATTTTGATAAGATTAAACAAAGAGTGACTAATTAGTCCAAAATACTATATCAAAGTATTTTTATCATCTTACTAATGAACTGAACCCATAATAGGCACTCTGGAAGCAACAGCCTATGCATTATGGACAACAGAAACTACCACATCATTAGCAATAGCATCATCTTCAATTACTAATCGTAGTGCGACTCGACAACAAGAGCGATGAGACCGCAAGTTGATAATACAAAATTTTACTTGAGAATTCTAATTTTGTCTCATCCTTTATAGTCTTTTTATTGACCAGGTGGGCATCATTAACTAACTGTACATCAAGCTGTAGACCAGGATATCGAATAATAGTTCGATGATGTATTGATGTTACTACTGGTCAAAACTATCAAACTTCTCTTTGCGGGAGCTAGCATTGTTATACTAAGTGAAACGTGTACTTCTTGCTTCACCTAGTGAAAGTATATATTTCATTATATTCCTATCATACAAATATGATGCCTATCATTTTTTTTTCTAATCTATTTTAGCAATGACTGTTATTCCACCAATTTTTGATAGAGATCCCAGCATACAAATTAGTTCTTATGCATTACCTGATAGAATGATTTTTCTTCAACGAACTTATCGTCATATTTGGGTATTAATTATTAAGTTTAATCAAAATAATCTTGTATAAATATTTTTAATTATTTTATAGATATCTAATAAAGGTTACATTACATTCGATACACCTTATTATGTCCGAACAATGACAACTTTTGCCTTTCCACTAATCAGCAACCAAGCTATTGCAGCTCCATTCTGGGCAGATTTTAGTGATATTCCTATAAGTAATTTATTTTGTCAATTTTTCTGTTTTTTTTTGGGGTGTGGGTGGGTGTGGGTGTGGGTGTGAATGTGAGTGTGAATGAATACCAGATCTACACCCACACCCTGTAATATATCTTATGATGATGATAGGCAGGCCAAACTTCATAAACAACTTGGCTATGTTGCTAAAACTCAGGGTCATTACGAACAGGCGATGGACGACTATAATCGAGCACTTTCTCTCTTTCTCGAACATTGTCCTACTAACTACGAAGATTTATTCGAAATCTACAATCATTTGGGTGTAGCTCATCATTATAAATCCAATTTGAATGACGCCGTAACGTTTATGCAAAAAGCGCTAAATTTACTAACAACTTATATGAAATCAAGCAACACTACACTCTCTCAAGCATACCACAATATTGGTCAAGTCCATCGTAGTCGAAAAGAATATGCTTGTGCTGAATTATATTTTCAGAAAGCTTTACACATTTTCACTCATTCAACTACTATACCAAGTAATCATCTAAATCTGGCGACATTACTGAGTAATTTTGCCCATCTCTTTACAATGAGATGGAACGGTATGATGATGCTGTATACAAATTAAACGAGGTTTTAACATTTCAATTAAAGGTATTACCACCGAATCACTTTCATGTTGAACGTACTTACAATAGTCTTGCCTGTTTGTAAGACAGCTCTACGCTTCTTAAAAAAAATATTGGATATAGATTTAAAACATCCATCATCTAATCATCCCTGGATAGCACGAATATACATGAATATAGCACATGTCTATTATGCGCGCAACATGTATTTGATCGGATAGTTATATGCTAAAAAGGCAATGGATCGACGGCGTGCATTCCAACTGATCGATTCTGTTAATATCAAATGTAGAGAAATATTTGAAATGGGTGAGAAACAGATAAGCCATATTATCTCTATACATGCTGTCATTTTGAATGAGATAGAAAATATTAACTGATTTTCAAGTCTTTATGAAGAATATAAAATATATCTTTATATGAAATATCGGATATATAGATCTATCTAACGTTGGGTCAGAGATAAAAGATCAGATATAGTGGGATGAGGGTGAGAATGATATTCAAATACGCTATAGAATTCCGAAAATTAGGTGAAAATTAAATTGGACAAACTGATTCCACAATGTTCAAGATTCCTGAATAGGATTAATGCTCAATTTAAGGAAATTTATGGAATTAATTAATTTTGTAAAGATCCTGTGTAATTATTATTAAAAGATTAATTTAACTGGTTATAGAAATTAGTTTAAAAAGACTTGATAATTATTATAAAACATTTAATAATACTCTGATAAAATTTGCACATGCACGATACAGACATCTTTCGTTGCATTAACATTTGCTATTGTGTACTTTACCTACATTAGAGAGGTGTGTTCTTCACTCTTATTGGTGACTTATTTGCTTAGTGTGAACTAATAATATTGACTTAAAACGATGTAGAAGTACTCCAATCGATTGCATATTTGAGTTTTAGATGATTCGGTCGACTAGTTCGTCAATAATTCGTTTAGAAAACTTTCCTAATGAGATTCTTCTATTAATCTGTCGTTATTTATCATCAATCGATATTCTTTATTCATTTTATGGGTTAAACACTCGATTGAATAGAATAATTAGCGAAATCTATTGCCATTTATTCCTAGGAGAAGTTTCATACCAACGATTAAAATATATCTGTTCATCAATCATTCCTCAAATAGGATATAATATATGTTCATTAACTATAAGTGATCAATTGACAGAAAACTTATCAAAAATATTTCTTGAACATTTTGGTCAACAAATTTCTTTAATATTTTCACGATTAAAATGTTTAACACTTATTGCATTGACTACTGATGTATTGCCATCAATTATTGATAATCTGATCAATTTGACAGATTTAACTCACTTAAATATTTATTCTTTAAATCGAACAAATATTAATGTGGATGGAATACAAATATTATTAGATAAAATTTTTTCTGCTAATAATTTTCGATTAAATTCAATTTGTTATGATCGTGAATCGATACCTTTGACAATAATTGATAAAAATAATCATTCAATATATTCAAATATAAAAAAATTAGAAATTTTTCTTGAACAATTAAATGATCTTCATCATTTATTAACTCGTTTACCACAAATTGAAACAATTCATGTCGTTCTTCAATATGAATCATCAGAATTTAATCATAAAAAAAAATATTCTCTTGTTGAAAGCAGAGATGAGCACAGGACAACTTTTTCTGTCCTGTCCTGCCCTGTCCTGT